CTCCCAAGTAACTGAAGAGCAACTATGTCAGTCTGGAGACTAAGGTGTGCCTGATTCAGGCCATAATCTTTATTATAACTTGCTATACATCCGAAAGCTGGACAATGACTAGAGATGGTAGAAGAATTGATGCCTTTGAGCCATGGTGCTAGAGTAGAGTATTGAATATACCGTGGACTGCTTGGAAAACAAGCAGGCTCATCCCAGAGAGGGAGAAATCAGACTGCTCCTTGGAGTCATGGATTCTGAAGGTTTGTCTGACATACTTTGAGCATGTTACAAGGAGTGACCAGTCCTTAGAGAGAGACATTATGCTTAGAAGGGTGGAGGGACAGCACAGAGAGGAAGACCCTCAATGAGATGGATTGATTCAGTCACTAAGGGGGTGACGGGGTAGGTGTGTCAGAGACAATAAGGTTGCCTCAGGATAGAGCAGGGTTGAAAACTGTGCTACAAAGGGTCACTATGAGTCACAAGTGACTCAGTGACACATAGCAACAAACAACAGCAAAGGAAACAACCAGTTTCAAGAGAACTAATATAATCTCCACCATTGTAAAATCATCACGAGGCCAATAGACAACATCATAATAGTTGGAGAAAAGATTCAAATTGTCAATGATGTTACCTTATTTAGATCCATATTCAACACCCTTGATACCAGCAATTAGGAGAGCAGGAAACATGCTGCTTCAGGGAAGTTGGCACTTGGGACATTTCCTATTTATTGAAGAACAATGATATCAGTTGAAACACTAAAGTGTGCCTGGTTAAGGCCATGTCTTTTTAATCAATTGTTTTTCACCTGAAAGCTGGACAAAGAATAAAAATGACAGGAGAAGAATTGATGCCTTTAAGATGTGGTTCTAGAGAAGAGTACTGAATATCCTACGGATTGAGAAAAGAACAAGCAGATGTCTTAGTAAAGGGCAGCAAGAGTGCTCCTTAGAGGCAAACATGGAGAAACTTTGTCTCCCATACTTTGGGCATGTGACTATAATGGGCTATTCCTTGCAGAGGAACATTATGCTTGGAAAAATGGAGGGTCAGAGAAAGAGAAGAAGATCCTCGGTGAGATGGATTGGCACTATGCCTGTAGCAATGGGGTCAAGTGTGTCAGAAGTGATGAGGAGAGCAAAAGATAGGACAGGGTTTGGGTCTGTTGTTCAGGGTCATTATGAGTTGTAGTCAGCTCAGTAGCACCTAATGACAACAGTAACAATGTTATCCCCAAGCATTCTATTGGCAAGGTCATGGGCAGGGGCTGGGGGGAGATTGCACTGCTAAGCCAAAGGTAGTGATCTCAATCCTACTTAAATTATTTCAAAAAATAGAAAAAAGGAGGAACATTTCCAGAGTCATTCTATGAAGCAAGCATAACCCTAAAACCGAAACCAGGTAAAGATATTACCAAGAAAGAAAACTACAGACCAATATATCTCATAAATAGAATTGCAAAAATACTTAACAAAAATCATAGCCAATAGAATCCAAAAGCACAATAAAAAATATAATTCACCATGACCATGTAGTATTTATAGCAGATATGCAAGGATAACAAGCAAGTTCATCCTGGAGAGGGTGAAGCCAGGCTTCTCCTCAGAGGCAAGGATTCTGAAGCTTCATCTGTCATACTTTGGACATGTTGCAAGGCGGGATCAGTCCTTGGAAAGGGACGTCATACTTGGGAGGGTGGAGGGACATAGCAGAAAAGGAAAACCCTCGATGAGATGGATTGATTCAGTGACCGAGGTAATGGGGATAAGTGTGTTGGAGACAATAAGATTGGCAAAGGATAGAGCAGGGTTTAGGTCTGTTGTACAGGGTTGCTATGAGTTGCCCGTTACTTGATAGCACATAACAACAACAACATGCAAGGAGGGTTTAACATAAGGAAAACAATCAATGTAATTCACCATATTGACAAAGTAAATGAAAAGAACCATATGATCTTAGCAATTAATGCAGAGAAAGTATTTTACAAAATCCAACACCCTTTCCTGTTAAAGACACCCAGCAATATTGGAATAGAAGGGAATTTCCTCAACATACTGAAAAATATCTATGCAAAACAAAAAGCCAACATCATTTTAAACGGAGAAAGACTAAACTTATTATACTTGTGAACAGGGACCAGACAAGAAAGCCTACTGTCACCACTTCTATTCAATATTGTATTAAAAGTGCTTGCTGGGACAATGCAACAAGAGAAAGAAATAAAAGGTATCCAGATTGGCAAAGAGATGGTTAAACTATCTCTATATGCAGCTGATATGATAGTACATGGAAAACTCCAAAGATTCAACAACAACAACAAAAACTTTTAGAGCTAATAGTCCAGTTTTATAGAGTGGCAGGATATAAGCTCAATATCCAAAAATTAGTGGGATTCCTCTACTGTAACAAAGAAAACATAGAGATGAAAACCAGGAAAGTAATATAATTTATAATTACCAACCACAAATTGAGTTACTTGGGAGTGAACCTAACTAGAGATACAGAAGACCTATACAAAGAGAACTACAGAACATTACTGCAAGACACGATAAAAGATCTAAAGAAAGGGGGAAATGTGCCCTGTTTATCGATAGGAAGACTCAATATGTGAAAATTACAATCCTACCAAAAGCAATCTACATGTTCAACTCAATCCCAATACAGATAACAAATTCATTTTTCAAGGAGATCAAAAGGGAAATTGTCCAGTTTATTTGGAGCACAAAGAGACCTCAAATAAGCAAAACACTTGTGAGAAATAATACTATACAGTGGTAGTAACCAAAACAGCATGGTACTATTACAATGACAGGCTTATAGACCAGTGGAACAAAACTGAGAACCCAGAAATGGACCCAGCTATCTATGGTCAACTGATATTCAACAAGTAAATAAAACCTATCAAATACGGAAATCACAACCTCTTCAAGAAATGGTGCTGGCAAAACTGGACTGCTACCTGCAGAAAGCTGAAACAGGATCCACATCTCACATCATGCAGAAAAATCAACTCAAGGTGGATTAGAGACCTGAGAGTAAAATCCAAAACCATAAAGTTCATAAGAGACAAACTGGGTTCAAATTTAGATGACCTAGTCTATGGTACAGCCAGAAACGCACAATCTGGAGAGGATAAATTGATGACTGGGACCTTCTAAAGATTAAATCCCTGTGTGCATCAAAAACTTTCTCCAACAGGGTGAAAAGAAAATCTACTAACTAGGAACAAGCATGAGGCAATACCATTTCAGATAAGAGTCTTATATCAAAAGTTTGCAGAATCCTACTGGGCGTCCACCAGAAAAAAAGACTGATAAACCAATTACAAAATGGGCAAAAGACATGGGAAGAATTTCACAGAGGAAGATATTTGAATGGTCAATGGACACACAAAGAAATGCTCAAAATCACTGGTAATAGGAGAGATGCAAATCTAAATCACAACTTGATACCATCTCTCTCCAGGCAGTGGCAAAGTTTAATAGGGCAGCAAATAATAAATGTTGGAGGGGATGTGGTGAGTTAGGAACTCTTAAACATTGTTGGTGGGATGTCATAATGGAACACACACTCTGGAAGGCACTTTGGTGCTTCCTCAAAAAGCTGAACACAGAAATTCCATATGACCCAGCTATTCCACTGCTTGGAATATACCCCAAGAGAATAAGATCTGAGGTACAAATGGAGACTTGTACACCAATGTGCATAGCAATGTTATTTACCATCGCAAAAACACGGAAACAGACCAGTTGTCCAACCACAATTGAATGGATTGAGAAATTATGAAACTTCGTACAATGGAATACTATGCATCCATGCAGAAGCAATGATTTTGTAAATTACTACCTAAAATAGGAGGAACTGGAAAGCATTATGCTGAGTGAACTCAGTCCCATAAAGACAAATCTTGTATAAGACCATTATTATAGAATGAGTATGAGGATCAAAGTTGGGGAGGGTAGAAGTAGAGGGGTGAGTATAGGGGAGCTAATCACAGGGTCACACAATTTGATAGGGGGTTGATGGAGCTGAAGGAAATGGGGAAGATCTGGTGTGAAAAACAATGTATTCAAACTTTGTAAATAAACCAGTATAATTTTTTTTAAATTATAACCTGTAAAAACCAGAAGAAAAAAATTCCATTTACTAAGTTCAGATAGTGAAACTAGTTTTCCAATGAGCTTAAGATATCTTAAACGTGTGGAGAAGTGTGTCATCTCTTACAATCACTTTTACCATGAATTATTAAAAATTTCGCATTAATTCCTTCTTAACTTATACTCTTTATTCATCAAGTGTATATACTCCAGAGTTCAACTTTTGCTCTCCTGAGTCCTAAGGGGAGATGAGGGAGTCGAGGGAGCTGTGAGGGTCCTCTAGTCGTCACAGTGGGCTCTCAGTTCTCCTAATGGACCTCAGGGGCCAATTTTCCTGTTTCCCCAAAGACAGCTGCTAGGAGCGTGGTTCCCCACCTCTCACTCGGGAAATGTTGCAGTGATAAGGTTCATGTTCAAGTGCAGAAAGGAAGTTAGTAAAAGATATATCTAGGAACAATCCTGTTTTCATGTCTCTAAAATTCATTGGTTATACCTTTCTCTAGACCACTATGTCAAATGTCATCCCAAAAATTCCTTGCTGCTGAGCTGAAACCAATTCTTAAGTGATCTTCCAGAAGGTTTTGGGAGGCTGTGAATTGAAAGGGAGGGTCTTGAGAGATCTATAATTCTCAAGCTTTAATGAGCTTATGTATTACCCGTCCAGCTCCTTTAAATGAAAATTCTGATTAAGTCTAAGAAAGGGTCCAAGATTTTGCATATTTCACAAGCTGTTAGGTGATTCCGTTGCTGATGGTCTGTGGATCACATAGTATATAGGAGATGAACTGAGATAATTCCTAGACATGGAATAAAGCCTTTCCCCCCTGTAGATAATGCAACACTTGGAACTTTATTTTTCTGTTTTTATGGTTTATTTAGCACAAATAAAATGTGCAAACAAGCTTTCTAATCATTTTCTTCACTGTGCAGTCTGGCACTGGGAGAAGTGACTCTAACCGCCAGCCGGGCTGTCATTTCCACAGTGGCTTTGTGGTTCTTGGAGGAGACATTGTGCACAATCTCAGCACCATCAGATTTCTTGCACATCAACAGCACTTTCAGCTCCTTGACACTGGGGACTAGAAATTTGGAGAAGCCACTGGACAACATGTGCTTTGTCTTCTTATTGCTCCCATGACCAATGGTGGGCATCAAGACCTGCCCCTTAAATCTCCGCAACCTGTTGTTGATGCATCTCAGCTTGCGCCAATTATGCTTAATTTTGGCATAACAGTCTGTCTGCTGCCGGATGAACTTCTTGGTCCTCTTTTTAATGATCTTTGTCTTCACCAGGGGTCTGAGGGCATCCTTTATGCCAGCAGGAGATGACTGCCATGTCCATAGAAAGTGCCAAAGGAGCAACACTTAGAACTGTTGGTGCTCTTTTGTTGTATCGCAGATTTTCATCACCTTGTGTTCTAGTGTAGGGTTCATGTAATCATAGGTGTCCCCTTTATCAGACCCTTCTGCTCTCTAGGTATTTTTTTTTCTCTTGCATTCTTCTAACAACTAAACTCATACAAGTGTCTTACTCTGTGCTTTGTTCTCAAGAAGTTTGTATTAAAAAAAAAAAAGTAACGTGATAAGTAAAACCCATGCTAATACTTTTCAATCCACAAGTATTATTCAATTAAAAATAGTTGTGGTCTTTATCTTTGTTTTTGTTGTTTATTGCCGTAGAGTCAAGCATGACTCATAACAACTGTATGAACAAAAGGCCTGAAGGCTTTCTATAACTATCATCATTTATCAAAGTTCATAGAGTTTCCAGAGGCATGTTGTTTAGGAAGTGGATGCTACTCCCGCTTCCAAACCTTTCTTAAATGTGGAGCTCCACCAAACACTGTCCACCATAACGGTAACCGTTATGGCATTTGACACCCCAATGGCACAAGATTCAACATCACAGCAACCCTAGTACCTCAGTACAGCATTTTGACAGAAGAGTGAAGAACATATATTCCATACCTAAAAGAATAGATAGCTAATGTTGTTGTTGTTGTTAAGTGCCATTGGGTCACTTGCAACTCAAAGTACAATAGCTCTGAACCTTGCTCTATCCTGATCCAACGTCATCGTCTCTGACACATCTACCCCCATTACACCAGTCACTGTCAATCCATCTCATCCAGGCTTTTCCTCTTTTGCACTCTCACTCCACCCTACCAAGCATGATGTCCCCTCCAAAGGCTGGTCCCTCCTTGCAACATGGTCAGATGGAGCTTTAGAATCCTTGCCTCCAAAGAGCAGCCTGGTTTCACCCTCTCCACGGTGAACCTGTTTATTCTACTAGCAGTCATGGTATATGCAACACTCTTCTCCAGCACCACAACTCAAAGGCATCAATTCTCCTTCCATCATCCCAAAGTCACTGTCCAGCTTTCTGATGCATAACAAGTGATTGCAAAGACCATGGCATGGTTCAGGTGCACCTTATTCTCCAGACTGACGTTGTTCCTCTTCAATACTCTGGTGAGGTCCCCGACAGAAGATTTTCCATTGTGTTTTGTCTTTTTATTTCCTGACTGCTGGTAGCCAGAGTGTCAATTGTGGAGCCAAGCAAACCGAATCTGTTAACAATCTCTTCACAGTCTATCATGTTTTTCCAATTAGCCCAGTGGTGAGAATCTTTGGTTTTTTTTTTGTTGAGCCTTAATCCATACAGTGATATCTATTGACTTGAGGTATTAGAGCTAGAAGTTAAAAAGTTTTGTTTAAAATCTCAACAAGTCAAGGATTTTTGTAATTATGCCAGGCCATTCCTGAGCTGACAGTACTCAAGTAGACTGAACTGGCTTCACAACCAAAGGCAGTAGACAAATGACTATATTCCATTTACAAACACTCAGACTATTTATGGGAAATCAATTACCTATCCTCTAAATTACATGTTATGTGTAGTATTAATTGAGCATTCATAAAGGAACTGTTGTTGTTAGGTGCTGTCACGTCAACTCTAACTCATAGCGACCTTATTGTAACAGATTTGTCCTCACAGTCTGCTTTGCTTAAACCTGTTGTTGTAATCACTGTCTACCCATCTTCTGGAGGGTCTTCCTCTCCTTAGTTGACCTTGTGTTTTTCCAAGAATGATGTGGTGTTGGTTTTTTTTTCCCCAAGGACTGGCTTCTCTTGATAGCATGCCCAAAAAGTGAGAGAGAAAGTCTTAGCAACCTTGCCTCTAAGGGAAATCACCTGCAAAGTACATAAACACTCAACTAACAAAAGAGGAAGAGGGGTGATGGTGACACCTTTATTCTCAGTTAATGCAGAATTTAGGAATTCTTCTAAATAATCACTGCATTTGGCTTAAAGTCTATAAAAGTTGAAACACACACACAATGCATACCTCGTGCACTCACACTGAAAGCAAGTCAGTCACGACTCTAGCATTTTCTAGATGAATCTTCTTTTTCTTATCTTGTATGCAAGCATTTTAATGAAAAGATTTCTCAGATAGCTTATAGGCATTTCACTAAATCTCCCCAGGCAATTTTATGCAGACTAAGATTTTATTGAGACATCAGGATAAGAATGACCTTCTTTATAAACATCTAGAATCTATTTCAAAATGCTACCGAATTCTAGTCTCTTGTGCTCATTGACCTGACAATTTGGGAAGTTGTTAAGAGCTGCCATGAGGGTTCTGCATTTATGCAGAGTTTTTCATTGCCCGAGAGAGTAAGCATTTACTACCATGATTGGTAACTGACTGACAATGCTGAAAGAGAAAGGAGTAACCTGAAGGCTACATGTATCTCTTTGTGGAACCAGCTGCTTCTACCATGTATATCTGGAAATTCTTTCACCCACCTATTTGTTATTGTTGTGTCCTGTCAAGTTATAACCCACTGATAGCTGACCCTCTAGGAGATTTTTTCAGAAAATAACACAGTAAATTTTTTCAGTAAATAACACAGAATGAAAATTCCCCTGTTCTATCCACCTATTGTTGTTGATATGTGTCATCAAGTCAAAACAGACTCGTAGTTGACTCTCCAGTGGGTTTTCAGAGGCACTAAATTACGAGGGAGGAAATTTCCATCCTTCTCCAGAGGAGCAGCTGGTGGATTTGAACTGTGTGCCTTTCAGACCAGCTGAAATACAGAAAGGACTAGCTCAAGGAATGATGGAGACTGGAAGTTCTGCCTATGACCACAGTTCATCAGAATACCTGTACCTGTTGTTGTTGTTGTTGTTGTTGTTGTTATGTGCCGTCGAGTCGCCTGCGACTCATAGAGACCCTATGTACAACAGCCCTAAACTCCGCTCTGTCCTGTGCCAATCGCACTGTCTCTGACACTCCCATCCCAATTATCCCAGTCACTGAATCAATCCACCTCATAGAGGGCCTTCCTCTCCTGCGCCGTCCCTCCACCCTCCCAAGCATGATGTCCCTCTCCAAGGACTGGTCTCTCCTCTCAACATGTCCAAAGTAAGTTAGACGGAGCCTCAGAATCCTTGCCTCCAAGGAGCCACCCGGTTTAACCCTCTCCAGGACAAATCTATTTGTTTTCCTAGCAGTCCATGGTATTCTCAATACTCTTCTCCAGCACCACAGCTCAAAGGCATCAATTCTCCTTCTATCCTCCTTGGTCATTGTCCAACTCTCTGATGCATAACAGGTGATTGCGAAGACCATGGCCTGTATCAGACGCACCTTAGTCTCCAGAGAGACACCACTGCTCTTCAGCACTTTGGAGAGGTCCCTAGCAGCAGACTTTCCCATGGCAATGCGCCTTTTAATTTCCTGGCTGCTGGTGCCAAGACTATGGAGCCAAGCAAACTAAAGCTGTGTACAATCTCAATCTCTTCACCATCCATCCTGATGCTGCCAATTGTTCCAGTGGTGAGAATCTTTGTCTTCTTGACATTGAGCCTCAATCCATATTGTAGGCTGCAGACGGAGACCTGTACCTAAATTGTAATATCTCAGTTTTTTTTTAAAAGTCCCTCAGATAATAGCACTTATACAGGACAATGATATTTCCCTGTCACCAATCATTCCTTATTGTGTGGTGATTGTTAGGTACCCTTGAGTCAAGTACAACACATTGCAACACTATGAACAACTGACTTGAATCCTGTCCTATCCTGTGCCATCTTCATCAACTCTAACACACTTGAGCCCATTACTGCAGTCACTGTGTCAATCCATCTCACTGAGGTCTTCCTTTCTTTTGCTGATCTCTACTTTACCAAGCATAATGTCTTTTTTCCAAGGAATAGTCTCTCCTAAGACCATGCCCAAAGTATGTGTGATGAAGCTTTGCCATCTTGTCTTACAAAGAACACTCTGGTTATACCTTTTCCAAGACATACCTGTTTGTTCTTTTGGCAGGTCATGGGATATTCAGTACTCTTCTCCAACACCACAACTCAAAGGCATCAATTCTTCTTCTTTCATTCTTATTCATTGTTCAGTTCTCAGATACATAGCAAGTGATCAAAAGACCAGGTGCACCTTAGTCTTCAAATTGACATCATTGCACTTCAGGAATTTTGAGAGGCCCCTGACAGCAGCCTTGCCCAATGCAATATGTCTTCTGATCCCCTGATTCTTCATACCAAGGGCATTGGTTGTTGACAATTCCTATCCTTTCACCATCTATCATGATATGATCTATTGGCCTGGTGGTGATGACTTTTGTTTCCTTGAGGCTGAGATGTAATCTTTGTTGAAGAGTACACTTGTTGATTTCCTGCAGCAAGTGGTTCAAGTCCTTCTCCTCACTTTCAGCAAGTGTAGACTGTTGATGAGTGCTCCTCTGATTCTGATGCCACATTCCTTTTCATAGAGTCCATCTTCATGAATTATTTGTTCAGCATACTGATTGAATATTCATGGAGAAAGGATACATCCCTGATGTACATCCTACCCAATTTTAAACCATTGTAGTATTCTTTTTCTCCATTCAAACTAGGGCTTCTTAATCTAGGTATAAATTTTGTACAAGTATAATTAAGTTTTCTGGGATTCCCATTCTCTCAAGGTTAGCCATAGTTTATTATGATCCACACAGTCAAAAGCCTTTTCACAGTCAATAAAGCATAAATAGACATATTCTTTGCTTTCAACTAGGATCCATCTAACATTAGCAATGATATCCCTGGTGCTACAACCTCCTCTAATTCCTGTTTCAACTTCTGACAGTTCTCTGTCAGTATACTATTCTAGCCTTTTTTTTATGGTCTTTAGTAATATTTTGCTTGCATGTGATATTAATGATATTATTTGATAATGTCTATATTCTGTTCACATTCTCTTCCACATTCTGGATCAATAACTTAGAAACTCCACCAATACCTTAGAACTTCCCAAATCATATTTCTATGAATCTTTCAAAGTATTCTCTCTACTCTGAAAAATAAAGACATTTTCGATTGCAACTTTTCATTTTCCTAGTCAGTAGAAATTGGTTGGCAAATACTCG